TCATAGCTTCTTTTCCGGATGAGATTTAACTCCATATAGAAAATCAATAAGTCGTCCAAGTAGTGTCAAGTAAAATACATAAATGAATCAAGTGAAAAGGGACTGCGATCAGACTTTTCAGTAAACCATGGCTTGGTTTTACTACTTTTCAAAGTTTCAAGATTGCATATTAATAATTACTTTACATAAACCTTCGCACTGACGACACATCAATTACCAATAGGTCTCAAACTCTTTTTTTTTAAAGAACCCACAAATGTTTCTGTTGATCGCTTAACCTCTAATTCGCATGCGCATGCGTGAACAGTTTTATAACCAACACGCGTCCGTTTTCTTTCAGGTTCTTGAAGTAAAAGTTAAATGGCAGAATACTTTGATTTCTCGCTACGGCTTTCAAATTGCTCTCCTGTTACTAAATACTCTACAAACTAAATATAATCGAGTCTGTCCCTCCGAAGAGTAAACAAAGCCCCCTTTCAACGACCGGTAATGTTATCCTCAAGGAAAACGGGCGGCCAGACACCTTAGAAAATAATAACTTGCAGACGACCCATGCTTTCAGCCCTGCATGCTTTATAGAGACTCGGTAGCACCTGTCTATCCACTGACTGGATTCTTCGGAGCTTTAAATTTGAACCAAGCGATAAATAGTAGAAAATTTACATTGTAGAGCATGGCAGATATTATTAACATTATATTTATTTATTTAAGTGTGTGTGTGCGCTGAATTCTATGGAATTGTATGACGTAACTGAAGTGCGTAATCGGCACAGCTGTTTTCAAGTACTACCTTGAAAACTAGGGGCTACAAAGTACGGTCCTTGAAAACCCCACAAAATGGCCTCTAGAAATGTGGAGTGTAACTTCTAAACTGAGTAGGTCAACATATCCCGACTGTTCTGCCACTCACTGGCCGACTCCAAGTTTCGTTTGAATTGTCTCATTCTGGCAATTCTGTCGACGGCTCTCACAAAATTGTATCCAACGCAACGAGTGCGATACTTATCTCGTTTTCCATTCCCATAGATACGGACGCGGTGATTGGTGGATTGTGTTCACGCGAGAAATGTAGCACTCTTGTGGTAAAATAGTTTCCTTCAATGCACAGTTGTGTGAGCGTCAATTCGTGTATCAAATTTTCGTTGAAGTGGCTAAGCTTAGCGGGAGCCTAATTAATAGAATGGAGACAGCTATTTGACCATCTACTCACTGTTTTCTTTGTGCGAATTGTTATTTTTTGAATCACGGTCATGTACACGTATGTGTAATTCAAATTATGTTGAAATCTGATTTCACATTCTGCATTGAACTTTCATTTTGGTTCAATACTGGTGCCCATCTCACCATATTTGCCAAATAACAATTACGAACAAAATTAAAGATATCGTGGAAATTGTTTTCTCCTTCTAGTTTCTGGCGATCTCTCGGAATCAGTATGTGTAGTTAGGTCAATACGTAAATTCCAGCCCACCAAAAAAAATATACATATATTACATCGCAATGTAATACTGATACAATGAAAGTATATATGTCCATAGCACGTTATTTTTTCGTGAAGCCGGGTAGCGTGATTGTCTATGGCCGCTGAGCAAAAAGCAAGGCAATGATATATGTTGTACGTATACCGCCGCACACTAAAGGTCACCCCTAGTAATCAGTGAGTGCGGTAACATATGTTTCTTATCGGAAATCTTTTCGGGGGAAGTTATTACTCATCGGACATGCTGCCCATTGCCATGACACCCTTCCTGTTATACAGGATTCATAATATAAGCCTTAATAATCGTGCTCGTCACCCCGGCAACGGTCTTGAGAAAAGGAGAAATAATTTAAATTAGAATCACTGCGCGCTTTACCGTCCCCAACTTGTCTCAGTACAATTTGAATTGTATTATTTTATTATTGCACAATAAACAAGTCTAGACAGTCGATGACATCATCATAAGATAACTACATGCGCGTTTCGCACGATAAGCCATGTCACTTTGCGTGAAGCCTTCAACATACGACTGTTGCTAGTACGTACACTTCTCAGGTCACTGAAAATACAAGTTTGACGATAAATCACGCCAATTTTATTCGTCGTTGTTTTATTTGCATTCTTAAAATGACGCTATCAAATTGATTTATTCGCAAATTTGATGATTGAGCTGCACAGGTGACATGTTAGGGAAAAAATGACAAAATTTAAATTAAGCACGGTGGAGGGTAATGCATATGCATTCGAATATGAGTGGACTGCCTTAGGCTACCCGAGTGAGCTGACATAAGGTGAAGTTGTTATTTAAATCCGGCAAAGCGCAAAAGTAAATTGATTTTAGTTTTGCTTTGCTTTTGATTTACTTTTGATTTATTTATAAATTGCAAAATTCAAACTGAAACGAGAGGTTTATATTGGCCAATAGTATAAAATATTGGAATATTTTCAAATCACGGCATTAGTCATTGCGCTCGTTGATTGGCTGGTTTGGTGACAATGGTTTTTTGTATCAATAGTAATTTCTTTTCAACTTTATTTTATTTCAACAAGTTACAGAAGAAAAAACTTGCGCATGCGTCCGCGGATTTCGTACTAGTTTGTACGTAGTTGGGACCCCGTTTTATTAAAATGGTACAGTAACACCATCATGATACTGTAAGGTCACGGCGTTACCAATGATTCACGCAAACGGCGCCATCGTGGGGGTCAACCGCGGGGCTCGGGGGTCATCCGTCCAAGAATAGTAAGAATACTAGAAGTACTCACTACTAAAGCTGTTGTCGCGGCCCCGTGGTCTTTGTGCTCATAACCGGAGATCATTATCACCGCCATTGAAAGCGGCAGGCCGCCGTCATGCCCATTTAAACACGCGACCAAGACGGGGACGTGGCGAATGAGAAAGATGTGCGGAATTCAGTCCGGAAGTAGATACCTGTCTGGTTGAATTGCTAAACATTCAGTCGGTTGGCAGCATAATTAATGCCTTTCTGAAGTGTCCATGTGCATTTCTCTATTCAACGCAGTGTTTTGTAAACACAGGGATGCTAATTTAATGTTTGCACTAAATGTAGAAAACAACTTCTAAAGTGGTGAAAAACATTCTACACAGGGCTCGATGGGTGGTAAAAATAGCCACGTACACAGCAGTCCGGGTAAAGTGTAGCTCAAGTGACTATTGCTCGTGTATGTTTTGGATTTAGGTATCATGGTCGGGATCAGTGTTGGACATGTTATACGACCGTTGATAGATCAGTGGCTATACAGTCACGCGGATATCAGTGGAGCGTGAATTCTTGGTGAGAAGTCAGCGGCATTAGTGGACCCCGAACGCCACGACCGCGCCCTAGGACTTGCGAACTCGATCACCAATACAAAGCCAGGTAGTCAATATAGAAATTGGCCAGGCGAATTATCTACTTCCCGACATTGACGTTTTCAGGGCAAATAATTGAAACATGATCAAGTGGAAATAACCATGAAAAAATGCCCTTATCGTAGATCATCGTCGCCGATAAGAATGGTGTTAACCGCCATGTAAGTGTATACTAACAAACGTAAGTACAAAGAGGGGAACGCGGTCGAATTGGGAACACGGGCCCTTGGGTGTTCGTGGAAATCATACATTTGATTTCTTGGGATAACGCCAGTGGGCCAGATAGTGACTGTATCTGGTATTCGCACGGTCGGCCAACAGGGTATATGCATTTTTTCTCTATAGCTGAAAACACACTTTCAATCAAATATCTACAAGACTTCAACTGAAACACATTAGCTCCTTGCGTGCTATGTATTCTTCTGTCGCTATGTGTAAAGGTATTAAAACAACGGTTAACACGTCACAGAGTTGATGAACAACTCACTATGATGCCTCCATTCTGTACAATTAAAGCCATGTGGATCGAATCGACTACTCTACACTATCGAGGAACACCTTCTAGCCTTCTGTTGTCCAAGGTCTCTCTCCATCAGTCCGCCTATCTTTAAATCAATAAATACACATACTAGTTCAATACCACATGGGCCGTAAAGTCCTCCATTCTAGCTTACATGGCTGACAAAATAAATACGTTGCGCGAAAATGAATGGTCTTTAAGAACTCACTCAATTAGACGGAAGGGCGTATTTTGTCTGAAGTTTAAAAAGATTTAAGTCGAGACTACACCCCCGGATTGGCTTTTTGCCAAAGTATAGTTTTATCTTTCTCCTCAAATATGGCCCACTGTCGCATCATGGATCCATTTCTTTTTTCATTATTTTCAGAAAATGACATGTGAACCCCATGGTTAACCTTCCTTACGCAGAGCGAGACGAAAAAAGATAAATTGTTAGGATAGCATCTTAATTATACGCCACAAAAGCGTCATTCAAGTGTTTCCCGGTCCTCGTCTTGTATGTGACAGGAATTGCCCATCGACGCGACTACTGTCTGAAAGTGTTTCCGTCACATCCTGTGTACCCTCTACATCTCTACTGCGTACCACTAAATACAACAAATTCTTTGTCCAGACTCCCAGCAAGAACGTGAGAAAAAATCATAAAACACCGGAGGCAACTTCCAAAAAAAAAAATACCTTCAAAAAAATATTCCTATGGTTACTTTAAATTGAGTAGTAATATGCAATATCTTTTTCTGTTGCAGTATGAGCAAATGGGTTGACTTTTGACAAAACTCAGCGTGGACCCTTGACCGTTGTGTTCTGAGTGACCCTAGAAAACCTTCACATACGTGTAAGTGTATGTGAGGGGGGAAATGGGTTATATTTTAACTTCCCCGCTGCGGTTGTGCGATTATCAAACACATCGTGTGAGTTCATCACATATCCAGTATTGACAGTACAGCCTAACACTGATGGAACTTGGAAAGCGCGTTCCGATTGCACAAAATATGCGTCAACTTATTTATAAAGCACAGATAATGATCTTTAAAGATAAGATAGCCAATGCCAGCTGATATTGAATTTTGAACACCATGTTGGAAAAAGTAAGGAGCTGAAAGATGTGGACATAAAATAAGACTTACCCGGGGGAATTGGAACAACCGTGCATTTTGTGCATGAAAAGACTGCTGCAAATAGACTGAAGAACAAAACGCTCTCCCAAGGGCTTGAATTATGCCGACTATATTTCCTAGGCCGGGCCATCACCAGCTTTGGCTAACGTCCAAAATCAAAGCGTCCTTTGAAAAGTTACGTTAACTAGTGGCATCCAGCCATTAGACGAGCTTAATGAATAGCAGCGAAAAACCTGAAACCGGCCCAAGCACAGCGCAACTCAAGAGTTCAGTGAAGATCTCGTCAACTTCTGCAGTGGCTCACGCGAGACCGAGGCCCCCACGTCTATGACCTAAACCACGTCACGGTCTGACTAGTGCACCAATCGCAGTGCAGACTGAAGAATGTCCGGACTTTCTTGATCGTGCCGTTTAGTTGAATAACAGCCGGAGTCTTTTGCCACAATTGAATCAACATTAAGGCAACATGGTTGCCATGGATACGTCTAATGGCAGTAGCCACAGGGGCAACCGAAATGGTCTCAGACGTTCTTTGTTTAATTTTCAGCTGAAGTTGGAGTGTGGAGCGCTTTCCTACAAACTAGTCCGGAAAAGACTCAGCTGGCCGCCTCAAGTGAAATCCAGGTCTAAACTTATGGAAGAGCAAAGCAATTAACGATGCTTAAGGGGGACTAAGCCTTCGTGTTTGTCGGGTCAATTAAATCCTTCTAATGAAATAAATTCGCAGGTGCTGTGCTGGTCAGATTTGATCTCAAATATTGTTGCCATGGAAATACTACGGTCAGTACTGTCTAAAAATAACAAATAGGTGTTCACGTCGTGGAACTTTCACGGGTTTTGTAATCATAAGGTAGTAAAAGTAAAACGCTTTAAAATTGTGACTAGTGTGTGTTGAGTGAGCGGAACTCTTCAAAATGCTACTGGGCATTGAAACTTTTTACGTCAGCTTGCATTACTTATTTTCACATGTGATGTTTGTTGTACGGTGTGACGTGGAGATGTCTACCTGGTCAATTATCCCACGTGAGGAGATTGTCCTGATTTCATATTAGTGTGCTCATTTTTTATTATTATTTGTTTATTTGAGAGGATCGGTCAGGAATAAAAAGTGTAGAATCACTACATTAACATCACTAACAGAAATCAGTAGTATGTCTTATCATTTTAAATTCACCTTGTCAAACTTGAAAAAAGTTACACGTTTGTAAATCCCGTTTGCTACACGCTATTGAAAACACTGAATGATTTTATTTATGTATCAATTTTGGTCGCGTTTGAGAATTGTAGTAAAAACAATGTGTTTGTGGCAGATCGTATATCATATTGTCGCTGGTCGACCGTTATGTCAGTGAACGTGTCCTCGGCCAAGGTACAAACTTTCAGTTTACGCCCGAGTCTATCGGCGAGGGCGCAGTAATTCCCGCCGAGCTCGACGGGAAAAATGATTGGAGTTGAAATCATATGATTAATATTCCCTATTTGATTAATGTTAATTACTGTTATTGGATTACATTAATATATTTAAAATATTCGTATAAAACTACGACTATATTGCAAGTGCACATAGCGTGAATATTGTTTATTGTGAAGTTGAAATATCACCCCAGATCTAAAATTAATAAAATTGAACATTTTCCATGCAAAGTCATATTGTATAAACGTATGTTATTTTCAGAACACAGCAATATCGGTGATGTGAACGGCTTTTCTGTCACCCATTAATTTCATACCACCAATTTACCAATTAGCATATCAAACTAATATAATTGTTGTTAGCCAATGGGTTTGTTCACCTCGCTGTGTCTGAAGCGCGGCGTGTGAGGGCGTACATGTGGGAAGGTTTATTTATTGACAAGTATCAGTGATCTGTGAATCTGGACAACACTCGATTAGACACTTCAGAACGGCTGCTTTTCTGAGAATATTGAAAGCAGAGAGCCTTACAAATATATGTGTTTTGTGTACATCCATTTTGTAGGAGAACGAGCTGACGAACGCGTGTTTTTCTAACTAGAATTATATTACATACCAAATTAAAATAATATGTTTATCTTTGTAACCTCTTTTTTTTTAAGAGAAATTCACCCAAACGCAGAAAGTGAATAAAGTGGAAATGCTTAGTACATAATGATAAATTGTATGTGCACCAATTTTGAAAGAGTACGAATCTTTTTGTTGAATGAGCATGGGTGCTAATATTATTAACCGAGTTCTCTGCAATTTAAAGCCCTTTCCATTTACCTAGTTACACATTAAGCGTTTCTTTAGTTGAATGTCAAATACAAGTTGGTCTTCACAGAACAGATATGCATGGTTATCTTTCGGCCATGTTTCTCCATAATTTTAACCAATCGATCCCTGTAGGCAATGGACAATTATGTGTAATTGATTCAACATTAATAAAAAAAATACAGAAAAAAAATATAGAGATGGAAGAAAACTGTACCAATCTTTTTGCCAAAGAAAATTAATACCTTCCTGAAATTTCAAACGAAGTCGTTTATTTCTAATATTCACACGTGTGAGGGCGCGATAACAAAATAGAACGATAATAAATGACTGTCATCAATATTTTTTCACCCAAACACGAACAACTTAAAGCAACGACGATACAGGAAATTTTTGGATAAAACTGATTATTTAGTTAATACTGGTGTGTCTTTTTAATTACTAGTTATAGTTTAACCGGTAGGTTTTTGTTATTGATAATTTGGTTATTATTGAGAAGGTTATTATAAACCAGCAAATTCTTTAGTGGCAAGTAGGTTGTTATTATTAATCAACCGCTTGTTATTGTTCATTAGGTTGTTTTTAATGGATGAGTTGTTATTTACCAGTAGATAGTTTTAATTTTTTTATTGGCCAGAAAGTTGTTATTGAACAGTGAGTTGTTATTCGTAAGTTACATGTGTGTACACTGCGTTGACAAATGTACGCTTATATTTACCGAGTAAATATTTCTATTTATGAAGGTCATTGATAAGTGGAGCAATCCATTGTCTAAACAGGCGGTGGCGACAATTGATAAAGTAAACAACTTTATGGATTTCGTATCCTTATTGGGAGTTTGAAAATAATACAATAAAGAATGCTGTTTAAATAAACAACAGTTAGCTAAAAAAGTAACAAAATAAAGTAAACAATTAGAAAATTACATCAATTAGTAAAACAGAACAAAAGTAAAAAAAAAAATACAAGAAATGTAAAATTGAGTGATTATTTCGGGGCAGCTGGTGGTAACAATACAAGAGACGTAGATACAAGACAAATTAAACTTTAATATATGTTTTTTTTAATAATATATACCCTAATAATCCTACCTCATGTGCCCTAACTGTGCTGGGATACAAGACTACAATATTTTATGGAAAATCTCCTGACATGAGCATCCTAATAAAAAAAAACATAAACACTTTCATGACGGGGGAGGTGACCAATGCACTTCTTAGTTGCAGAATGTTTACACACTTAGAAGGCCTTATGCATGCATGTCAGGTATATTAGCGACTCTCGTGACCATGACGTGGAGTGCGATACCACTAATTCACGGTGGCCGCCTGTAAGCGGTGTTTGTTTTCACTGTGGCGGTGATAACCGCGGCTAATAAAATGTGGTGTTGAAATATGTCCGTAGGACTTAAAGCGCTGACCATCGTTGAACCGTGTTAGTAATATAGAGTCTCAAAGTGGAGACTGGCCATGTGCGTGAATGTGTTTCACCATAGTCACGTTTTACGTTACCTCCTGCATTAAGCTAAGTTCGATAAAATTACGTATAACTACTTCAAAATGGTTTATACGTATTTTCATCGCGACGTGCTAGTAACATGTATTATATGACACCTGTCTTTACCAAAATATTGTATAGGACGTAATTATTAGCTGATATTGACGCAGTTGATATGCGCAAAGTCAGCAATAGAATGTATTGTACCTCAGCTACTTCCGCCTGTTTCTCTGTTTCGCTACCGAAATGTATATACCAGCCTCCTCCTTCTGTTTCTTCGCTTCGCTGCCGAATTGAAAATATAGGCTCTTTTCGGCAGCAAAGCACAGAAACAGTCGGATGAAACTGGGGTATGGAATGTATTGTTACCTTCACAAGACAGTGAATTTAACACCTAGTGAATATACCTACAAGGTCAAGCACGCTAAAATTTAACTTAGTGAATATCCCCCTCTGCAGTTATAGAACAAGGTTAAATTTACTAGTATTTGGGAATTATATATTTATACGTATTTTAATAACTCTCTAACAGAGAATACAAAGAAGATGTCACATGAGTGGCTATACAATGTCAGATTTAATAAACGCTTGTAGTAATTTTTATTTATTCTGAGCCTTTAGCGAGGAACAAACGAAAATTATTACTCTCCAGCTCATTTAATAAATCTGGTATTGAAACAGCAAGTTAAAAAATATGATTAAATAAATAATGATTATTCATTAAAAATACTATAGCGAGTTTTAAGTCAAATCAAGGTTTTTGCTTCTTTGCATGGTCCAAGAGAAAATAGAAAAATAGAGCGGTTTTATTTTTTTTTAATTAAATACCACAGCAACAAAAAATATGTTCAACGTTTAATATTTATTAAATATTGCTTCTCCAATACATACATTAAAGGCTGAGTTGGATCAACAAAACGTCTTCTGGGCTTGAAACTGAAAACATACATTTCTCCATTACACCGTAAGTGGCACACTTTAGTGGTACTCAACATAAAATTATTGTAACAAGTTTAAGAAATGCGCGAAGAACAGGTTTTAAACTGATGCGCGCGATGGGGTTCTCGCAGAACATTTCGGGTTTTTTTGCCTTTATAATAGGGAAATGTTTTTATAATTGCGTGTTATTTTTTTCGGAGATGATGCTAAATTAGTCGAAATGAGCATTTGACTTCGTCATAGAAAAAATGAAAGATAAGAGATGACTTAGTATCAATAGGGTCAGAATCTGCTCGGCTCACTGTGACGTCAAATGCACAATTACTAACCGTGTCGAAGCCTAACTGCACAAAACTAAAAATAAGCAATAATCCTTCAACCACTTGCATAGTAAACAATGCATTGTCACAGTAAACCATAGACCCTTTAAAAGATATTTTAGAGGGTATATGAGTAAACCCCGTCAATAACAACAGACACACAATGGTTATCATGATCAAATACAAGCTTAAATGTTCAAATAGGACACTTGAATTGGAAACAATATTGATATGGGGTTTATTGTTTTCAGCTGTTACAATGTGGTATATATAACATCCGTTTGTGTATGTAGTCCTGTATCTGGCGCCACCGCTAAGCGATCTCATCCAAGTATAACGGAAGTGCATCTGTGATTATAATTATTTATTATTTGTAATTATATTCCTCTATATCCACATATTATATATCTGAGTCTTGTCAATTTCTGTATAACTTGTCTTTTAAACTGAAATCATTAACTTATTTCATAGTCTCTATTTCATTTCGAAAGGCTATTAATTAAAGTTGGTTCGAAATCGATGCAGCCAGTGCCGAGTAGGTTCTGAGGTAGATAAATATTATTCGCAATTCTATCGTTGTCTAGTGATTTATAATAAATAATTACAATAATTAATTACAAGTTTTGCTTTAAAGTGAATTTACATTTGTAAGCAAAAATAAATAAATACGGTCAGTTCCGTTTTTCAGGTTACTGAATTCATATCATCAATACTAAATTTGAATAATTCGAAACTGTTGCCTGAGTTTATAAAATGTTAATAAATATTAATATTGTACTGTATCAAGCCTGTACGGGCCTTATTACGCAGTATCATGTGATGATGTCAGTCTCCAAGGTGACCTTGGAGGTTCGCATTCCAGTGATTAATATTCTAGGTTAAATGGCTTTCGAGTGTTGTTTATTATTTAAAACACACCAGTGGCGGATCTAGAGGGGGGGTTCTTGGGGTCCGGACCCCCCAGTTAAAAAATGTATTCAATTTGTTTTTAAGTTGTATAATATAAAAACAAATCATTAACTTAGTCTGGTGATTTTAAAGTTTGGACCCCCCCCATAAAAAAGTCTGTATCCGCCCCTGCACACTGTCCTCGTAATGAAGTGTCCCATCTCAAAGAAATGGTATCAGTTTCCACCCGGCCAATAACGCATTCCTATCAATACACATATATGTTGAAAATTGTCCCTCAAAATGCAGGGTTTCAGAGGGTCAACATTAGGTGATTTTTGTACCGTCGCCTCTGGCATGTACAATACATTGTGATGAAACACTTCCCATATTGCAAAAAAATATTATCATACTGGAATTTTTGTATTAGGATTTGCGCGATGTCAACAGCAATATACCAGTTTTATAATTAATTTAATTTAATTTGCAAAAGCGAGAAGCAGAAACACAGTAGTATGATATCACCAAAGTCCAATCTTCAAATAAAATGTCAACTTGAAAAACGGTCCCGAATTTTAGGAAATAAACAATCATTTTAAGATCACGCGGCAGTGGTATAACAATTTTAGTATTATTGGAATCGATATGACGTGTGGTAACTAATGCGCATGCGCATGCATCAAATTCACGTGACTATTACTGCCTAATTACTGACTAATTTTGCTGCTGTATTAAGTCAAGAACACATAGTAATTATATAAAATGCATGATGGTATCACTATGCGATGTGACAGTTAGTCGTACGAGAAACGCTCAGAATTTGGACGCACAGTATAAAGGTCAATGAACAGTAACTGGGTCAAACAGCACGTGATGAATGATGTCATAGAAACCCTCGAATCCTATATAAATACAAGCCACCCTTTGTAGAGAATTCAGCGTGACACTATAATACGTACAACATGAAGCTGCTAGTTTTTCTGAGTTTCGTCGCCTGCACAGTGGCGTTCAAGTGCTGCCCTCCTAAGCAATTTGAGGGTTTTATAGGAAGTTACGGAGGTTCTTGTTCACACCAGGGTCAGGCCGGGCTTCTCTTTTCATGGGGCCAGGTACACTACGACTACAAAAAGGCGATGGTAGCGGTCGAGGAAACCGTGTATGTAGATAAACAACAGGAACATGTGCAAGTCATACAGGACTATGCCAATGTGAGTACGTGTAAGTGTTTACAGATCATTTTGTACGCTATGCAGTAGTGTCGTATTATGTGAGATACGAGGTGAGTTGTACTACACGCAGCAAACTGAGCGGGCTTGGTTACGATCACCAAGCAGGCCCCTCTCATATGCGGTAATAATTGTTCATTAGATGTTATTATCGATTTATCATATTTGGAGATCATCAGAGAATACGTACTCAAAGCAACATGAAAACAGTCTGACGGTATATCCAAAGTTATATAATGAGACTGAGTGAAGATTTCTGAAACAAGAGTCACGACCCTCTATCTAGGTGGCTCGTGGAGTCTGTGTATTGCACTGTCGTAGAAGCAATATCTGGATATTGCACTGTCGTAGAAGCAATATCTGGATATTGCACTGTCGTAGAAGCAATATCTGGATATTGCACTGGTGTATCTAAATATTGCACTGCTGGTGGCGGTGCAATATCTGGATATTTCGCTGGTGGCGGTGCAATATCTGGATATTTCGCTGGTGGCGGTGCAATATCTGGATATTGCGCTGGTGGCGGTGCATTATCTGGATATTGCACTGGTGTATCTAGATATTGCACTGCTGGCGGCGAAGCAATATCTGGGTATTTCGCTGGTGGCGGTGCAATATCCGGATATTGCACTGGTGTATCTGGATATGGCAGGCACTGGTAGCAAAGCGATATCTAGATATTGCACTGGTATGGATACAACTGTACAGATAAAGTCCCCTGAGAAGTCTAAAGGCCAAGGCCTTGTAATGGACGAGTTGTTTCTTCATTAACTATTACAGGGGTCGTTAAATACATGTATTACGTAAATACATATATTTATGAATACATCACGAACTGTGTTATTCCATGACAACCCGAACGTTGTTGTTCATGCACACTTGAGTATCTACGTGTCCCAGAGACTTAATTGGCTTACATCGTTGATGTGACTGTGATGGTCTCAGTCGTATTTCGCGGAGCTTATTTTATTTCCCCTGGATCTATTAATCAATTAAAGTTGTTATTCCTTATTAAACTTGGCATGTACCTATAGTTACATTCGCACTGGCTAATAAGTCTAAAACTTGTGTCCATGCTAAGTAACCGGCGTACGCGAATACTGCTGAATATGGGCTAAGAAACCCGAAAGTATAAGCACAATTTGGGAATTTTCTCGCTTGTTGTGCCCCTCCCCCCATCACCAACAGACACGACACAACGAATATTACATTGAAATCATATCGTTTATTCTGAACGGGAATTATCTTCGAACCACATAGAGGAAAAGCTATTGGTCCAAAATTACCAATCCAGAACTCGTCTTTTTCGAATAATCTAACTATAATATTGTACTCAATTACAGGAAGTAATGTACTTGATTATTGGAGGGAATTGTACAAAATCAGACTTGCCAGATACGGAAATCATGTGCGTTCCAGGTAAATACCACTTTATATCAATTATGCAAATGATCATTTTGGATTGGCTGCCCTGAACTTAAAAATAAAAATAAAAATCAGATCTTACAGTTCTGCACGACTGCTGTGGTGATTCAATGGTGCAGTATTATACCAGAAAGTTACTTACTCATTACATAGTGTTTGTATACGTGTTCTATTCCAGACTCTGCCGTGTACGTAATGACGCAAGAATACGGAATGGGTGCTATGACCGTAGATATATATTCATACGGTAGTAAACTTTTTGGCGATGCATTCTTTGGTCAAATCAGCGTCACACGTGATAAATGTATCCCCATGGGTGTAAACCTGGGCATAAATCACCCGCAAGGTAAGCCTGTGATTATTGAATCTTGAAAACTACCACCCAGTTAGCTTTCACTTTTGATATGTTGTAAGTAAGTACATTGGTTGACCTCTATCAGATTTGTTCATTTCGTGACGATGTCAATAATTCTTTATTCTTAGCGATTATTTCTGTCATTTTTTGTTAAAAAATTATATTTTCGACTTTGAAAAATACCAGCCCGATTGCTTCGATATTTAACGTGTACAGAGTATGTATGATAAAGTTAGATTGACATTTTCTTAATAGCCAGAATCAAACTACTTGTTTGTGGGTTAACTGCATTTGTATATTCGGCTGTGCATTAGTTGTTTTGGCAACCACAATATATTTATAGGACAACAGAATTATTACTTGTTTAGTGTTCCACTTTGTTCGTGACCTTGTGCTGTTAATTCTCGCGTGATGTCCATACTATTGTGTTTTTAATTCTCGCGTAATCTAACCTTGTTTTTTTCACATTTTCAGCTTCAATTGTAATGAGTTTTGGGTATGCAAACCTGACATTGGGAATCAAGGACCCATCGGTCTTTGACATTCCTGAAATTTGTCATCATAATGACGTCATACCGTTCAAGGTCAGTAAGAAAGTCATATAAGCGAAATCTATCTATTGTCATAAAAGACGTAATTTTTGGTCACGTGTTGCATGGGATGTCGGCATCCTATCGTATTAGGAAATACAAATTACCAAATATGATGGCGGGCGTTTTTTGAAAAACATAATGTTCAATATGTTGCCCTGTCCAGGGTAGTAAACACAAAGTGCAGTTGAATTGAGAAGACGTATAATAGTTATCACTACTGAGGATATTGTACAGTTTGGACTCTGACAATTTGCTATCACGTCGGCCTCTTCTACTTGTCAATCAATACTCGCTCTGTAATGCCTTAGTACTTTGCAGCATCCTCATAATAACCGTGTATTATAAAATAATTTATTATTTTGAATATTATTTGTTTTAAAGATGCATCGAATAAACACACGTATTTTTCGTTCCATTTTTATTTAGGTAATGGGTGAAAAATTATCAGATCGTATGAAGGTGGTGATGTCATCATACAGTGCTCGTTAATGCACTTCAATTAGCGTTGTCTTTCGTGGTACAAATTGAAGTAATTAAATTCAATAGTTTCCTTCAATGAAGGCTTGATAGTTAATCTACTCAATATGACATAACGACTATGTTGTAGATTGAAATAAACTTCACTTCTATGTAACATGACATTCTTGCAATGTGCGGGGCGAATTGAACACGTCGTATACTGAGTAATGTTTGGGGGGGGGCTTGGCTCCATGGTTATTGTCTTCAGAACTTGTAAATAAATGTGACAAGTAGTAACTATGTATTTCAACATTTACAAGTTATTGTACGAGTCCCTGTGCTCAACAAAAGCGAGTCATATTTATTGAATCAACTTGAATGCAAAGCTACTTACAAGATTGTGCCTGATTGGCTTCCAACCCCCAACGTCTAACAATCGGACCAATCAGAGAGCAGCTTTTATGTTGATCTAATTCAGCTTCGTTTATACGACATGCACTGGCATATCACAATCGAATTTTTCAAAATCCACCAATTAGAATTAGTGTTATATTTTCAATATGCATAGAAGTCACAAATATTTCACACTAAATGCTCACATGTACTATGATTAAGTGGTGCACAATGTATAGTAAATAAATAAGGTATTTGTTATTGTTTGAATAATCTACACTAGTACGATTTAGTGAGGTTAATAAATGTACAAAATATAATGAAATATTTACATATAATATTTGACATGTACATAGGCTGAATATATTCGTATATTGTTATGACAGCTAGTTTGTGTTTTGCACGTTTTTTTTTTTACTTTCTAAAAATAAATAAATGTAACCAGTGAACAGACAAGAATAAAATCAAGCCACTCTGTCAAAACTGTAAAAAAAAATACAAAATGCCATAATAAGTAGAATGACAGTGTAAAACAAATCGCTTCTTGGGCAATCAGTGCAGTACAACGCGGTCTAAAATGCTCTGTACATTTTCATCCAACTAAGTTGTTTGCACTTTAAATTACTTAGGTCCTTGGAACCATTTTAAATTATATGCTCCACAATTATGGATGTTCAAATTATAATTTTAAGCAATAATCGTATTTATAGGGCATGGAATTTTCCACCAGACCTTGACGTATATTTCACTTCACACTGGCAGTCAATAATTTTGTTAATACGTATATAGTTGTTCCAGTATTGGGGTAGTAACACACATTGTATTCAGTTGCAGAGACACTTGATGTAACTATATATCTCAATTATAATTGAATATGTTATAAATGTAAATTTGGTTTTATCTCGGATTCTTATCTCAAGTTCCAGCTGACTACCAAAGACATTATTCAGTATCAGTAGAAAACGTTACATTTTATATTCATGTTTATGACATGATACCTTAGACCTGTTGAAAAGTTTAAAATTGCAATTTTTAGTAATTTAATTTTAAAGTATTAGATACACGTTTGTTGTAAAACAGGGACTTTGTAAACTTCACACAAGTATTTTTTTGAAATGCGATCTTGTTAACTTATTAACCCAGCATGACCTGCCACCAGGGCACTGGTAACATCATATATAGACGACATCCCCGGAAGTCGAAGATACGGCGTTTCGCATGCGCGCGCATGCCGTTTTGGGGTGTATCGACGTCACAAAAATACAATTTCCTCCTAACGACTATTAGCCAACTGACATGTTTGTATCTTCTGCCATGACAAAGCAGGAGTATTTTTGCACCCCAGTCTTGCTACTTCCGGGAAAGTCGTCTATACAGGCATCTGGCCAGTATACAACATAGAAGCGATATGAACCACATAATAATATGCGAACATTATAGTACCATGGAGGAGATAGTACCTAGTTAGTTTGTATAAGCGCAGTACTGCACGGAAAACCTGCACAATGCTAATGCTAGACAGTTGAAAATAAGTTTCTGTGTACAAAAGCATGACAATTCAGAAAAAGAATAACAGTACTGGTTCAGATATGCCAGAACATTGGAAATTTGACAAATAGGTACGTCTTGTTTGCATACATCAACTTGAACATGTTGACATTGCGACATATATAATTACAAGCTCATATATTGTAATATGATTTGGTTATACTAGTATATGCAGTCAAAAACCTCTTTGCCAGACTGGAGAAAACGCTTTTTTATCAATTTTTTACTTGTTTTTACATGTGCGACATGCACATGAAGGGGAAGAATACGTAAAATGAAAAATCAAAGTGCATTTCGGGTAATTCCTTATTGCAATTGTATATCTTATTATATTTACTGTATTTATTAAAGTAAAGGTAAACGGATAGAACGCAGTAAGATATTTTCGGGGATTTAGGACATTTGTATCGATGTATGACATTTGTATGACGGGTGGACGATAGTGCGCATGTGCATGAGTCAAATGCACGTGACCATTTGAAGTACATGTACGACAACTATCACTGAAATGCAATGAATCAGGCATCGAACGAGGATTTTAAATATGCCGTGGTTTAAACAAATAACACCCTAAACCTGACAGTCGGGTATCACACTGGTTTATCACTCCAGTCACATATGAAAGCCCCCCCCCCCCAACCATGGCGGCTGCCAATGGCTTGATATTACAGTAATCACAACATTATAGTGGTTGTAGTATATACTCTTCAAAAATCGCGACGTCTCTGGGATTCAGAGAACTATTTCATGTCTGATTTTTGTCACCATAGTTACCGTCTCACCCCTATCCGTCTCATTGAATTGCTCCTCTTTATTTCTCATCTGTAGTGTTTCTTTAATCGGTTAGTTCTCCGAACCGACTGTAAGTCTAGAAGTTCAAATACTCATATACTGTGTTAACCGAGACATACCTGTATTACTCAGGAACTCGTGACCACCGCCTGGTACATACTCTTATAAATTGCGTTTTGAAAATACATTATGGTGCTGTAGATGGGTGACCAGTCATGTGACTTGCCATGGAGCCACACCTCAAAACCTCGTGATCTAGAAACCATAGGAAGTTCGTAATCCAATTAGTGTTACAAGCACGCAATATTCATGTATAACGAATGAAATAAAGTTAAATACAATAGACTTGCTAGTAGAAATGAAAACAAGTAACGGCTGAAGTAATCTGTCCCGAGCTTCGCCCTAACCGTATAACTAACCGAGTAGCCACGTTTGCCCTCAGCTTTTCCAGTTCTCGTATGTTGCCCATCTTTTCCAGTCCGTCATCCCGGCTTTGCTTCCGATAAATCTAAGACGGTGTTACCTATACCAGTGATTCGAGTTTGTTTATGAATACGGCATATGCACACTTACCGTATGAATACAAAATTAATATTGTATGAGCGGAACAACATTGAGTGAAGTAGGAATGTTTAGATATATCATTCCCAGGCACTTTAAGTTTAGAAGCCTAGTCATAATTTTTGACAATATTGGTCATAAATCGCATGACAATGTTCATTAGTTTATTATGTACAATCATGAAGCTAATGTCTCATGGTACAATGAAATAGCATTGTTTTGTGTGTTACAGTTATGCTTTTTGAGAAACATGTCCTAATATATCTTGAAAATTGTTATTTTTAGAACAATTCCATAGAACACAATGTTAAAGAAAAATTGCAGATTTTGACACATTTTAAAACCCAGATTTTTTAAATAATTCAGAGCAACAAAAAGTACTCCATCATTAACAATATATGATTTTTTCAGCCTATGTCACCAGGTAGATTTTGAGATATTGCATAATATCTCTGCCATAGGAACCTATGGTAAAAATGTCATAGTCAATAGTGTCAAAATGACGACTTTCCACTAAAATACAACCATCAATTTCTCGAAAAAAGGCCGGTGACCCGCAATTTTTTTTAGGTCAATGTCCTTATATTGCCTTGGAGTACAATTTATTGCAAAATGAATAAATTCTGGGGTTTTTAATTTATGAGTAGGCTTCTACCTTAACTAATTTTATTGAGGGAGTTTACTTCCCACAGTTTAATTTATCATTCTATGCAGTGAATATCCCCGAAAAAAGGTATCACCAAATTTATTTACAAAAATAGGTTGTGAAAGAAATATAATCCCAACATGAAGACTTAAGTCATTCTAAAACTGGAACAAAAGATATTCGCACATTTTCCTTTTATCTTAAATTTTCAATGTATAATGTCCCAGTTTACTGCCAGTGCGGGATGAAGGGATACGAAACCGTGATGGGGAACAATGTCCCCTTGGTATATATAAGTATATCGATGCGTAGTCTGGCAAGATCATGTGGTGACCACATGATGAGACAGTAACTAAGATGCTACAATATTGATTTCATTGAGATATTGGATACATTTTATTTTTACCGCTGTACCGAGTCTTTTATATGGGCTCTGTGTTAGCTGATGTGGAACACCGGTGAGAACATCCATAGTCGAAAACAGCACGAGACAATCCTTAACAACAAAATTTTTATTTGTTGCACAAGAGGGGGGGGTCTTGTTATACTGTTCAGGATCGGAGAATCGCAGCAACTAAGTACAGTTTTTTAGAGTTATCGATGGTTGCCAGACGGTGAAAATGCCTGGATTTTCGTCCCTGATAACACTCACTGGTCCTGTTCACCTATAGAAGCCTACTAACTGAAAATACACAGCATTTATTTTGCAATAAATTAGACTTCAGGTAAGCTTGTTGTATTTTAGTGGACAGTTGTCATTTTGGCAGTATTATAACGATTTCACCATAGATTTCTATAGCAGAGACTTTAAGCTATAGTATGTGAACTCAGCTGCTGACCTGAATTGATTATTTCAAAATGTTAGCTTTTAAAAACGTTGTATTCTATGGAATTGTTCTAATAATAATGATTTTTGAAAAATATTAAGCCAAGTTTTTCAAAAAATTTCACTGTAACACACACAAAAATAACTCTATGATTGTAAATATTATACACCAATAATTATTGTCATGCAATTTATAACAAATGTTATCAACTTATAAATATGCGTACGTTTCCACCTCAATCATTCTCATGTTTCGCCTCGGTAGTTGCCAGTGGGAACCACACTTAAACATGTTTAAACTTTAATAATAACAGACAATAAAACTAATTTTCAAGAAAGGTATATTTCTAGACCAACATAACATTCACTCAACTTTCTCGAAATAACTGTGACTCTTTGAACCTAGGCAAAATAACGATTGAAATAAATGGATGTGACAGTGGTTTGAACATATGGGGCGATGAGAAAGAACATTTTGGATTAGTGGTACTAATTTTTTTTTTTCTATGAATCGTCTTTAAAACAAAACAAAAAACATCTTTAAAAAGCGTTAAAATAAACTAGCGGTGAATTTAGCATATAAGAGTATATTTTCACTTGACCGTGTGCACAAAAAAGTTGTTAAACTTACATTGCGGTCGGATTCAGGTTTAATACGTTTTTGTATTAACCTCTCAGTATCTTGAGGCTGAAACGCAAGGGTAAAACAGACTGGTTGAAATGGAACACATGTTTACATTCGGTTATTGTATGTCAACTACCTGTATATCGGTCGCTATTCATGTGGTTACTGACGTCACTCGTGGGACGCTGTCACCGAGTACACCGTTCGGCGAGGAATGCTCAGTACACCTACAAACACAATGAAATTGGTCGCGTGGCTAGCGGGGCTGATCGCCTGCACCGCGGCGCAAAAATGCTGTCCACCAAAGCAGTTTGAAGCCTTTATGGGAGAGGTCGGAGGCACTTGCACCCCGCAAGGCCAGTCCGGGCTCTTCTTCGTTACTGGGCAGGTACATTATGACTACAAAAAAGCAATGGTGGCTGCCGAAGAATACATCTCCACCGAGAAACAGGTCAAAGTGCAGATCATACAAGACTACAATAGTGTAAGTGTGCATACCGTACCAAGCTGCGATACTCAAACTGTTTTTTTAAAAACCATTTGAAATCGTGGGGGGGGGGTGCTTGAAGATTTGCTGAAAAAATGCAAGCAAGACATTTATTCATTGAAATCCTCTCAATGACTTGCAGTACGGATCCGTATTATCGGAGATTGACGCCACCCCTTCGAAAGGTCGGATAGAGGCCATTAGCATTACACAGAATCATGTGATGCCGATTGGCCTCATGGGAAATATGTATGGTTGTACAGTCAGAATATATTTTTAATTTGATAAAAACAAGAATATTTAAAAGGCAACATAATTCATTGAAAATGTTATTCGCCATGGCAACCGCCTGCTCACAGTATTGGAACAATTTGGAATAAACACCAAACCAAGGTCATTGTCACGTTGTGTCATGCACGTGACTTATCTTGCATTAAAAATCTATATTCTATATTTCCAGAACACCCAATATGTCGTCCAGGCGGGAAAATGTACCAAGTCAGACCTACCCGGTAGTATTGAAAACACGTGCGTACCAGGTACGATGGGAACATTTTGAAATGTATTTGTGCATCATTCAGGTACCACCTAGGGCTATTATCCTCGGATGAATACTTCTTACATAGTTTTGGAAAATCTTAAATCAACCTCAAAATTTTAATGACGACTGCTTGCTTTTGGAAAGGTGTAAAAAATACAAAATATAAAAATATATATAAACATATTTGCTGTGAACTTCGATACAAATTGTACTTTTGCAGCTAGGTATAAACATGGTCACCCTTTGTGTTGTTTTGTTTTAATATATTTTACATGTTTTCAGATTACGCCGTGTATGGTGGCAGGCTCGTATACGGATTGAATGCCGCCTTGGAGATAGACATGTACAGTTTTGAGGGCCAGCAACTGGGGACCAACTATAGTGTTCAAGTCCTCGTCACCTCAAAGGAATGTCTCTATTTCGCCCAGAACACATTCATTGATTCTCCTCAAGGTATACCCTGAATAATACTATATTTCCTGTAATCAAATATTGTCTGTTAGCGAAAATTTTATTCCAATTTAGAATTCACGCTGCACGTTACGTAACAATTCATTGCATTCCAGTATTCAAAGTTTGTCACGTAAATGTATTTACATAAGGTTTTATGTGTTGAATTGTTGACTCGGAAATTAGAGTAGTTGCAATGCTAATCCAGTCGGACTGTTGCGCGCGTGTGCGTGCGTTCGTTCGTGCGCGCGTCATATCTCTGATATGACAGAATGGGTTTTGTTCATATTAGTACAAAGACAAGTCGATTTGTTTGTTTGTTTTTTATTTGGTTGAACTTTTACCGATTGTCCGTCATTGTTACGCCGCTGCTAAACACCGAAAATCAACAATCAAACATGTCATCAACCGTTTCTCAGTGATTACTTCGCCGACTTAAATGAAACTTAGTATGAACAATCAAATCTGGTACAAAAAACAAGACATTATGATGCAATAAATTTTCTCTTTAGTTATTCTTGGATTTCGATAAAATTTAGCCAACTGGCAGCAATTTGTGAGCAAATAAATCACTAATGTTTGACCATATTTTTCTCATCCATTGCATTTAACCTTGGTATGAACATCATCAGAGTGGGTTACCGGTGCATGTTTGACTGTTTTGTGATTTGTTGCAATTTGATGACTATTTTGACCCTCAAAAACACACTAAAATCAACACTTGAACATGTCATCAACAGTTTCCCAAGCATGCCTGTACAATCAAACTCAGCAATTCGAAATTCGAACACGCGCTGACGTGACGACCACTGCCCTACACGTCACGTTTTATTCCCCACTCTATTTAATTTATCTATCTGCATATTTAATTGTTTATATTTGAAACGATATCTAAAAACTGGACGGAGACTATATCATTAACAATGACGTAATTAATGCTTCTTATACAAAGATGCAAATTTAAACCAAATCTCGCGTGATGTGTGTAACCCATTGCGTTGTTTTCCTTGCAGTGGATATCATTATGAATAGTGGATATACAAATACAACACTAGGAATCAAGGACCCATCAGTGTTTGACGTTCCAAAGATATGTGATCACGGTGACGTCATACCGTTTAAGGTCAGTAGTAATCAACAAAGACAGCTGTACATATTCGGCCAAAGCTCTTTAAATCACTAAATTATTTCAGGTAACTCCATCAGTTCTTTCAAATTGACATTGTTCGTCAAAACTTGACTTGACCGTTTCGAATTCATCTGCGCCCTCTAACGGCGAAATGTTCCGTGACGTAGATCGACAGTGAAAGCAATGCCGTTAAACGTCTCTGTTGTATTGATCTATATAATCCTGTCAATAACTAATATTTTTTGTAGTATTTACTATATTTACATTTCAAAATTGGCGATTTGAACAGTACTCCCTTCACCATGCTACGTCATATTACGTCACAGAGTACTCCTGTCGCCAGTGGGCAGGCTTATTAGAAAGGCCGATCTATTCGTTCACAAGAGTACTGCTATTGTTACTATCCATTTTACTCTGCTTATTTGCAGGCAATGCATGACATCATACCGGATCGCATGAAATGGCTGTTAATATTTGGTGCTCGTTGACTTTAACTTCTCGAGTCATTTGCTGAAATACTGGGTAATATATAGTATTCGGCCTTGATCTTCAGAAAAAAAAATGCATATACAGTCTCTTGGATTCGAATTGCATTCAATTTATTTGAAAAGATAAATATGAATTAGATGACGAACATCACTACCGCTGTTTACCTGCAGAAGGATCTGTATACTATGTCATACTCAAATTACCTGGAAATGTATTTTAATAAATTGTAACGTATAAAGACCTGAGTCTGATTGTTGACTGTCAAAACGTACATACACACATACACACATACAGGTGTCTCATGAATTGTGGAGCCACCATTGGATTAACTTTTAATAGAGTTGAATTAACTTTTAATATAGTTGCGATATGAACTCGATTAAAACGCGTTCCTATATAGGGTTGCGTTTTAATTGGAGTTTAATTAAACTCAATTACAATGCAATACAATGGAGAATTGCACTTTAATTAAGTTTAATTAAACTAGAGTTGAATATCCCGTGACTGAACATAGAAATGTTTGC